TTTTATTTTCGTGGGGTTAATCTGCAGGTTTGCAGCGATAAAAAAGAATACTGTACACGGTGAACACACTATTAGTGTAAGGACTGCCCAGAAATGGTTCAAAAAATTTAAAGTTTCAAAAAGCAGCATGGATGATGAAGCCCGTTTAGGACGTTTTGAACTGTTAGAACCAAATCAAACGATTCATTCAGAAGTTTATACTGAACAACTTAGCCGTCTGTATTCAGAATGGATCAAAAAACGCCCACGATGGGTGAATATCAAGAAAGTGCTGTTTTATCGTGATAACGCTAGACGGAACGAACAACGCTGCAAAAAATTAGTGAATTTAATTGGGAGCTTTTGCCACATCCTGCTTACTCCCCAGATATTGCCCCGAAGTGATTTTCGCTTTATTTCGTGCCTTACAAAATTTTTTACTGGGGAAGAAAATTAAATTCTAAACAGGATGTACACAATGAAAGTTTCAAGATTTTTTTTTTTTTTTTTTTCCCATCCAAACCAGAGTCGTTTCTACAGCAGCGGCATAAAAAGGCTGCCTGTAAGATGGCGAGACATTCTAGATAATAGTGGAAAATATACAATTGATTAAAATGTTAAATTGTGTTTTTTTATATTATTTAAAAATTTACAAAAAATGCGCACGAATTTATGAACTGACCCAATATTAGAAATTATCTGATTTTTAAAATTATAATATTAAGCCCTACTCCGCAGCAGTGATGAATATGTTTATAGCTGTGTGAGAATTTTCTGGGTATTTTGCATGAATCGACAACCAAAAATTTAGGAGCTGCTCTTGTTTAAATTTAGCCTTTAACGTCGAATCAGTTGTAGTCCTCTCCTTTTATTGGCAACCTTTTTAGTTTATTGTAATACTTTTGTAGTAATAGTATTTTTGTACTATTGTAATTTTTTAGTTAATATTTTATTTAATAAACACTAGTCAACTAGTGCGAGGGATTTATAATTTTCTTTTTGAATTTTTGTTTTAGTTCTAGAACACAGGTTCATGATCATTGAAGCCCACCAGCGGCCGAGCGGTAAAGACGCTGAACACTGGTAGTTCGGTCCGAGGTTCGAATCCCGCGAACGGGCTGGCTGCATGGGCGTTTTCGTGGTTTTCCCCATGTGTAACGCGTATGCGAGTCAGTTTTCCTTAGAAAGCCCTCCACGAAGGCATCCCTCCCTTTAGGCAGATAGCCCTCGTGTGCTTTGCCATAATTAAATAATCCAATCCAATCCAATCCATGATCATTGAGATAGATATTTAAGTTAGAATTAAGATATTTAAATTAAATTAAATTAAATTACCCAATTCTGTGGATGTTGACTGTCCATATTCGTCACGTTGTGGGTCATTTCGGATCAGTTCATATACGTAGAACAGTGCAATAAATTCAGATATGCTTAAACGCCATGAGCTCTAGCTGTAAAGCAAACCACTTGCTAGTGACTTAAGTGTAACAGGAATAGTAAACTTAAATGCATATATTTTAAATTCAAATTACATTGAGTTGTGGTGCTTGGTCAGCGTTGATCACTTTTAATCTAGAATTTGAGGGTCACGTAGAATCATTTCGTGCGTTTTCCTTCACCTACACGTTGTGGGTCATTTCGAATCAATTCATACAGGTATGGGCAGTGCTGTAAATTCAAATATGCATAAACACTATGACTTGTGACTGAAAAGCAAACTACTTAGCCGTAACAGTAGTGGTAAACTTAGGCACAGATTTTAAATTAAAATTAAATTGAATCACAACGGTTCTTATCAATGACGTTGATTATTTTTTATCTACAACTTGAAGGTCACATAGAGTCATTCCATGCGTCACCAATGTGGGGCAATGCTATAAATTTAAATGTACTTTGAAAGCAAGTCTAAGCACATCTGTTCAAGATTATTGGTCAAGCCATATGCCACAAATGGCCGTAAGCCAGTGCACTGCCGTAAATGTAAACTAAATCGAAGCACATTGATTCTTAATAGGGCTGTAGTCACGATTTTTTCAAGGCTCGAGGTTTCACTGGTACAGATTATGCCTTACAGTCAACGTATAAGGTATTTCCCCCCACTTCCCTAGCATGCCTTCGTGGTGTAACGGTAGCACGCTTGGCCGGTATTCCAGAGTTCCATGGTTCGATTCCCGGCGAAGGCGGTTGCATATTTTTCATTTTTTCTGCTTCCAATTAACCTAATGACTCTACAAGTGGCGCCCGAACTAAAAGGGTTGTGGATGATGATTCTCCACACCAGGATTTGGAGATTGGGTCCCCTAAAAACCCTAGTTGCCCTTTAAAAAGGGGAGCACATAAGATATTTCTCCCACTTTCCTAGCGTCCTTCGTGGTGTAGTGGTTCTGCACGCTGGGCCGCATTGCAGAGGTCCTTGGTTCGATTCCCGGTGAAGGCATTTACTATTTTTCATCTTTCCTGCCTCTAAAAATCATCCTGATGTCTTTACAGTGGCGCCCGAACTAAAAGGGTTGTGGATGATGACTCTCCAGACCCAGGATTTGGCGATTGGGTCCCCTAAAAACCCCAGTCGCTCTTTAAAAGGAGGAGTGTATAAGTTATTTCTCCCGCCTTCTAAACGTGCCTTCGTGGTGTAGTGGTTCTGCAAGCTGGGTCGGATTCCAGAGCTGCGCGGTTCGATTCCTGGCGAAGGCGTTTTAATTTTTCATCTTCCTTGCTTACCAGACATCCTGATGTCTCTACAAACGGATCACCGGTGAGGGGCGGTGCACTAAATTTAAAGACATTTTTAGGATTGAGACAGAGTTTAGGCTAATATCTTCCTGTACTGTCACTGCAAAATCCAACCAGATCCCCAAATTCAAATCAAATGGACTGAACTCAGTTCATTAATAAATATTTAGCAAACTAGATCTGATGTATGGAAACACAAAGCCTGGAATAATAATGGTTTCTTACTTTACATTATTATTATTGACATTAATGTCACCATAACTGACATTATTAAATCTAAGAAGACCTAGTTTTGCTTATTTTTAACGGCATCACACTGGAGTCAAAACGTTCATTTACAAGCTACATATATTAATAGGACATCCAACAATTTATTATTATTTATATCACATATTTTTTTGAATAATCCAAAATGTCAGCTTTAAATAAAATTTAAATAATGGCCACATTTCTGACACACAAAAGTAAATTTCAGATAAATGTTAGCATCACGAGACTCAGAATACGTTTTATATTGTCTGTATTTAGAAATATAGTATGAAATTACAATCATAATCTATTTAAAAAGTGTCTATGGTAATTTATAGTCAAGGTTTAATATACTGCAATATAATGAGATCATTTGAGCAAGAAATTCAGTGCCAATGTTTTCAAAACGTCATAAGGGTGGACCTTGTAGAGCTATTAGAATTTTTTTGGAAGCCGGAAAGATGAAAAATGATCAACGCTTTCGCTAGGAATCGAACCAAGCACCTCTGGAGTACGCGCTCAGCATGCACACCACTGCACCACGAAGGAACGCTAAGAAGGCTAGAGAAATACTGTATATACTCCCCCTTTTAAAGGGAGACTATGGATTAGGGGACCCAATCGCCAAACCCTGATGGTGAAGAATCATCATCAACCTTTATGTTCGGGGCCACTGTAGAGACATTAGGTTATTTCGAAGCAAGAGAGATAAAAAATGAGCAACGCCATCGTCAGGAATATAACCACGGACCTCTGAATACGCGCCCAGCGTGCAGACCACCACACCACGAAGTCATGCTAAGAAGGAGGGAGAAATACCTTATAATTTGAGCAAGAAATTCAGTGCCAATGTTTTCAAAACGTCATAAGGGTGGACCTTGTAGAGCTATCAGAATTTTTTTGGAAGCCGGAAAGATGAAAAATGATCAACGCTTTCGCTAGGAATCGAACCAAGGACCTCTGGAGTACGCGCTCAGCATGCACACCACTGCACCACGAAGGAACGCTAAGAAGGCTAGAGAAATACTGTATATACTCCCCCTTTTAAAGGGCGACTATGGATTACGGGACCCAATCGCCAAACCCTGATGGTGAAGAATCATCATCAACCTTTATGTTCGGGCGCCACTGTAGAGACATTAGGTTATTTCGAAGCAAGAGAGATAAAAAAATGAGCAACGCCATCGTCAGGAATATAACCACGGACCTCTGAATACGCGCCCAGCGTGCAGACCACCACACCACGAAGTCATGCTAAGAAAGAGGGAGAAATACCTTATAATTTGAGCAAGAAATTCAGCGCTAATATTTTCAAAAAGTCATAAGGATGGACTTTCAATGGAAAAACAAATAAACCCATATTCGGAATTTTATAGTTTATAATAAGAAGAAATTCTGTTAATTAGTGACAACCCCGTCCTAACGCAATTTTGAAGAGATCTTATTATTGATTTATGCTAAAAATTTCGGAATAATCCGAATTTTAAAATTTCTTTAGCATCTAGAAATACTGTTTTCAACTATTGTTTGATGAAATGCTGAAAAGACTTTCAATATATTTATGCCAACGCCCTAATACAATGATTAAATCAATAAAAATTACATAACGGGCTTCAGCAAGGTGAACAACTTGGTGACATCCCCCTCTCTGAGGAACTGCAGCTTCTGAAACTTTCTTTCAAAAATAGCTATTGACTAAAAGAAAAAAAGATTAGATGAAATCGGATGCAAATGGCTGATGGCTTCAATAAGAAGCTTTACAGGAAGCACCATCAGGAAGACGAAGAATGTAGATCAAGGTTACTTATGGATACGCCTTTCTGATGAATGTTAACCATCTTTTAAATATCAGTTGGTGTGTGCCTAAAACAAATAAATAAAATAAGCTTACCGCCTGCTTGATTTTAGCATAAATGCCTAAAACGTTGTCATACTTCCATGATGTAGAAAAAAAAATCTTATCGTACCTTGACCACAATTTTGTTTATTTTTTAACTTTTCGGGAGAACCGTTCTCGCAAAGAGTATAAAAGCTGGACCACTAAACTCTACCAGCACTTCAATTTAGGAAGACAATCCAGCTATCCAAAAACATGAAGGTAAGTTTAAACTCTTAAGTTTTTTATTATTTAGTATTTACTGAATTATTTAAAACCTGAGTAATTTATTATAGCTGAAGACAATAGCTGTTTTCCAATAATGTGCATTCTGAACTTTTACAAAGTGAAAACATGTTATTAGAACATATTTAATAGAGATATATTTTCAGCCAGAATCAAAATTTCAGCCGAAATTGTTTCAGCCAAAATGTTTAATGTGAATCAAAATATTCCTGCAAAGATAAAAAGCTTAAAATTTTAAACGATTTAAAGAAAATTAATTTTAAATGAGCTATACAAAATAAGCTATTTTGTGTAATTTACTTCTGGTTCTGCTTTGTAATATTCTTATTAGTAATATTTTTATTAATTCTTATTACAATTTCTCTTTATTTTTGTAATATTCTTCGTGCCTTATGTGGACTGCGATATTAAACATATTTATATTTTACAAAACACTTGTTACGCGGTCCATGTGACAAAGGTTTTCTTATAGCTCTATTACATCTATCATTTCAAAATTTCTATAGAATTTAAGGAGAGGTAATTCTAATCAAATAACAAAGCTTAAATATAGATTTGCATTAATCTAAACCTTAAAAAGCTTTGGCAATTCATCAGGGCAATTTAATCTCCTCGCTGTTGTAAAAAAGAATTATTCTACTTGCTCTTGATGATGAGAGGCAGTTTTAGTGTTTCTTTTGAAATTATTAAGACAATTTTAAGTTTGAAGTTTACTTAAAACTTATTTTGGCATGCACATCTTGCATTTACTCTTAATTATTAGTTGTAATTGAATTACTTTTCTTTGTTATAGTTAGTAAAGTATTCAGTTGACAGGTTGTAATAAAAACTGTGGCAAAAGAAATCAAAAGTTTTAAGTCAATTTTGAGCAAGGTTTAACGAGTAATTTTTACTTGTGTGACGGAAGTTTTGGATAGTTACAGCAGATCATAATACAAAAAGAATAAACGAATACAAAAGAATAAACGAATTTTAAGTGGTTCATGTAACAAGGGTTTTGTCTGAAAAATGAAAATTTTTAGTGTTAAATTTTTTGAAGTTAAAAAAATCTTCTCCTGCAAGTTATTTTCTTAAGTTAAATGAATATGCAGTTTGAAAGGATATTATGAGACACATTCTTCAGGCTTTGAGAACTTCAGTACACAATGCTCGATTTTTAACTTAGAAAGTTTATAGTTTCTTAAAGCAAATAGCTGCTTTTTCACAAAAATCTCTAATTCGAAATTTTTTGTTATTTGTGCTTCTGATCTGCATTATTAACAGATAAGGTTCGTGAATTTATCATGGAAGAGCGTTTGTCATTAAGAAAGATGCTAGGCAGCTTATTTTTGATCAACCTTTTCTCTATTTTGATCGAGAAAAGTTCGCGGAACGGATTTAAGCACCTCATCTTACTTGATCATCAATCTCTCAAGAGGAGTTTTGGTTCGATAGTTTTTTAAGTGCCCCATGCAGCAAAGACACAGTGCATTTACAAATATATGAGAAGTATGATCGGTGAGATGTGAACCTTGACCCAACAATATAGATGCTGGCTTAAAATTAAAGCCATTTGTGTATGTATTCCTTCCAGCTGAGCTTTTTCTAATTAAGGAATAATGTAGATTTCCTTTTCAATTTATTATTATTTACATATTCCGCCCTAAAGCAATACACGGAAGGGAGGGATGCTTCGGCGGAGAACTTTCTAAGGGATTTTGGCTAGTATTAATACCTTACATACGCGAAAAACCACGAAAAAGCCCATGCAGCCAGCCTATTCGCGGGATTCGAACCTCGGGCCTAACTACCAGTGTTCAGAGACTTTGCCGCTGGTGGACCTTCCTTCTGAAAAGTTCCTTTATTACCGTAAACATTAAAATTTTGTCTACTTACTCAGAAAAGGCCTCGCAAATTGTTGAAATCATTCAAAAATATCATTTTATAAACTAAAACCCTTACATTAATGATTCGTATTTCAGGTTCTCATCTTGTGCACTCTTATCGCTGCTTCCCAGGCAGCAGTCCTGCTCCACCATGGACTTGTTGGAACTGGAGCCAGCGCCCAATACAGAAGCCAGGATGTAAGAAATTATATTTTCATAATTGTATTACAATGTAGAAAATATTATAATACATTAATAAAATTTTTCTAAAAATTAAATGGTTATTTAAGTATTAATTTCGATTTTAGCAAATTATGCTGTGAAAATAAGTGACGAAAATTGTTAACCTTTTGTTAGTCAAAGTACTTAGCTAAGATTATTGCACCTTTAAACCAATATTAGACACATAAATACTGGAATTTTCAATAAAGTATGTAAATGAAAGTTATAAGGAAACATAACTTTGAGTGGATTAATAAATAACTCTCAACATCTGTGTACATTTATCAACAAACATATTCAATTATAAATAAATATTTCTACATATAGATGCATAACTTAATTGCCTAACCATCAATTCCTGTTTATTAAGTTAAAGTTTAGTTAAGAAATTAAACCTCTATCTAGGTATGAGCAGTGTATTACCAGTTATAGGAAAGATTTTTATTTTATTAACTAAAATTGAGAAAATTTTTGTGAATTTACTTAATGTTGAAGTTTACAAGTATTTATAAATCCTTGTCGTATATTTAGGGACTTGGCAACTACGCTTTCGGTTACAACGAGGGTCATGGATCTGGTGCCACATTCCGCAAGGAAACCGGTTCCAATGGAGTCGTTGCCGGATCCTATGGCTTGGCTGTAGCTGACGGAAGACAGCGTATTGTCAACTATGTAGCCGACGCAGCTGGATTCAGAGCTGACATCAAGACCAACGAACCAGGAGTTGAGCCCAAAGACCCAGCTAACACTGCCATCAACAAGGCTGGAGTTGTTGTCGCCGCTGCTGCCCCAGCACTGGCCTACGCCGCCCCCGCCGCTGTCCATGTCGCTGCAGGTCATCCTCTTGGAGCTTACAGTTACAACACTCTTGTCGGACACCACGGTCTTGGACACCATGGACTCTGGTGGTAGATTATATATGTACATAAAATAAATTATAAAGATATCTATTTGTGCCATTGGACTCACGATTTTGCGGACCTTAATGTTGTCAGTTGCGAATAATCTCGCTTCAGATAAGGGGCTTGGTTGCCTAGTACATTGTGTGAACATTGTCTTCACCTTTTGGGGCCAATTCAAAAATATGTGGAGAAATAAAAATCTTGTTACATAAACATGTCTTTGTGTCTTCTTTGCTCAGAAGAATGCATCATGTAAGATACGCGAGCTCAAATGTGCTTATATAGAATATATGGTTTAATAATATAAGATATTTTTTTATTATTTCAAGAATATTTATTTGAACTAATAAGAAATATACTCTACTAATGAGTGAAACTGATAATTTTTTGTAAGATGCTTACAGTTTTAAGTTTATTTTATGGCTTCAGGAAATAAAAGCAAATATACAAATGACACCTGACAAACACCTGACAAATAAGAATAAAAACTGGCATTTTAATCATAAAATACTAATCATAGTTCTGTTTACTAGAATTAAAAATTGTGTATTCTAAAAATATCGTTCCCTATCTTGAAACATTTTGTTGCTTGTGAAGCTGAAAATATCGGGTTTGCAAGAAAGTAAATTCGGTTTTTAGTGGGAATTAAAACTCAGTTTTTTTTCTACTTACAAAAAAAAAAAAAAAAAAAAAAGAACTTTAATCAGTCAAATATCTTCCATGCTGTTCAATGACATTTTGCCATCCCTCTGGCAACTTCGTGATTCCTCGCTCTTAGAACTTCTCGTCTTTATCAGAGCAAAAAACTCAACCAAGTGCGATTTGATGTCATCTTTATTACCTACATTTTTAACATTTAAGAAGTTTTGTAAATTTTGAAATAAATTATAATCCAGCGGTGCATGGTCGGGGCTATATTGGGATGCGATATTACTTCCCAGCCAATCTCCAATAATTTTGCACATTTTGCTAAATATGGCCTCGCATTGTGGTGGAGGAACATGGTTCCGTTGCAATTTGCCAATTCTGACCTTTTATCTTTGATCGCTTCCTCCAGTTTCATTAGTTTCTGGCAATAAACTTCGAAGCAGCTCAAAATACACAACAACTTTCCAATACTACCAAATTGTCTGGATGATCTTTTTGTGATGCAATTTCGGTTTTGATATAATTTGCGCATGGACCATGATCTTTATCAAATAATGTTATAGTAGAAGATCCGTTTTCCATCACCAGTGATAAGTCGCTTAAAAAAGGATCGATTGCATTCTGTTTGAAATGCACATCGCAAATACTGACTAGTTGTGTTAACCTCTTAATGACCGAATTTATATTAAAAATTGTGCCGAAAATCCTCAATTTTTTATACTATTTTTATTATCAACAGATATAGCTCACTAGATGTAGTTTGTAGTCTAGGTAATAATAGGTATTAAGAGTTAGAGTAAAAATCAAGTAAATACATTTTACGATCTATAAAGGCTATTGATAACATGCTATAGTCTGAAACATGGTGTAACACATAGCGGCACATCACAGTATGGAAGAAATACCGCTATAGCTCAACACAGATATAGCTCATTAGATGTAGCTTTGTATGGATAAAAAACTATTTTTTTCAAGACAAAAATAAGATGTTTATTATGGTTCATGAAATTATCCGAGTTAACTCAGGTTTCAATGAGGCAGACAAAAAAACCCCACAGTCTAGCCAAAAGTAATACAGAAATGTAGTCTAGGTAATAAGACTTAAAGTATAAAAATCAAGTAAATAAATTTTACGATTTATAAATGTTATTGACAGTATGGTGTAGTCTGAAACATTGTGTAACACATAGCGCCACATCACCATAAGAAAGCATGTGCATGTCAGAATATCGATGAACCAATCACAAAAGTCGCTTGTGCCCTTCCCACAGCTAAGAAAACATGTGCATGGCAGAGGGTCGATTGCCACGCAATATTACAGGCGATGGCATTAAATATCCATAAAATTTTCAGCCTTTCAACTTCCGAGTTAACTCGTTCATAGGAAACTCGAAACGGCCTCTATTCCCGAGATATCTGGGGTGTAGTCTTTAAGAGGTTAAGTAATTCCTTTGAGTTCCTGCGGGTGTAGTCTTTAAGAGGTTAAGTAATTCCTTTGAGTTCCTGCGGGTGTAGTCTTTAAGAGGTTAAGTAATTCCTTTGAGTTCCTGAGGAACTCGAATATCGAGATTCTTAACGAGTCCAAGACACCTTAGGTGATTCTCATTTGCTGTGTGTGATACACTTATTCTTCTTGCAGTCTGTCATACAGTTATGTGACAACTAGATTCAATTATGGTTGGGATTATTACGGCAATTATAGATTCAGTTATGGCTTATAATTTTGTCATCCTCAACTTCAGAAGGCCGACTAGAACATAGGTCAACATAAAGTGAAAAATTTCAAAAATGAATTTTTTTAATTCAATTCTGACACATGAATTCTGTTAAGCAATCAACACCGTAAACGTCATATGAATGTCAATCGCTTTTTACTTCCTTGTATGAAGTAAAAAGGAAGTATTGTAATCGCGAGAAGTTTCAGGCAACATATTTCAACGAAAATATCCATTTTGAAGGCTATCGAATGCAATTTAACGACGTTTTTGCGTGATATCTGTACGTAAGGACAGAATAAAAGACTCTTTTCCTCCAAAAGAATTATAAAACTGCTTTAAAATGAATTCTGAAGAGAATTTTTCGTGGCGTCTATACGAACGTCTGTACGTACGTACGTATCTCGCATAACACAAAAACGAGTAGCCTCAGAACGTTGCAATTTTGTATATAGGACTGCTATAACATGTAGATGTGCACCTCGTATTTAAATATATTTATATATATATATCCACTCTGTTACCCGGCTCAGTGATCTCAGTTTCTTTACTCTTATATGTTTGTAAATTGTATATTTTTGGCTTTAAAAATGATTGAATTATGTTGTTTTTATCTTCCGGTTAAGGTTTTTATGCCTTTCGTCATTCTGTAAGCAATATTTGTACAATTATCAACAATTTAAAAGCTGTTTAAGTGCGGTTAAGTTTTATATGACATAGTGGACATATTTGTTTACATTGGAAACAGCAGAATTGTAGATTTGTTGCCAATCTAGAGAGACTAAGCTTCGCATCACAAAACTAACGCCTTCATTTATTATTTCGAATTAAATCATGCTTAATCCTTTCTGGAAACTTTTTCGAGGAAATAAGTGTTTAAAATTTACTTCGAAATTTTTAATGCCGGTATTTTGAGTTTTTTTTATGTATTTTTGCCTTGTCGCGAAGTCAGAATTGAATTAATTGAATGAGAAATACTGAATCCTCTATGAAAAACTGTTTTTCTCTGCTTTGTTTGCTTAATTTCTTTCATTTATCGTTTTAGCTTTATTATAGTATTTGAATAGAACACGTGGCAACGATAATTCTTCAAATGATATAAATTTTGTTCATTCAGAGTGTCGTTATAGTAAACAAATATAGTGAATTTTAAAGAGTGCATTTATTCTATTGTGGTGCGCTGTCGACGAAGTAGATTTAATTCAATCCAATCAATTTAAATGAAATTCAAGAAAAAATGCCCATAATTTAATATTTCGTATAAAGATTTCATGTGGTGTACATATCAGATTTTTTACCTTTATTAAAATAAAAGTGTAATATATGTCGAAAATATTTATTTTTGCACCGCATGTTAAAATTGATCGTAAACTAAGAGTTTTAAATAAACGTACACAGAATTTGTTGCTATAACAACCTATATGCATCGGCTGCCAAATCGCAAAAGGGAAAAAATATAAAATTGACAGAAGAATAACAAAATGATCATAACTTTATTGGTGCAAACGCAAATCCTTGCCAACCTAATAACTTTGTGCGAAGCTAAAAGAGGCATGTACAGTTCGAAGAGTTACTCAATATGAATTACAACATATATTTTTGAATGAATATAATATTTTCATTCTATGCAAGAACGTGATGACTTTCTGTACTTTCTGTAAAAATACATGCAGTAAATTACTTTCTTAACCAAAAGCTATGAAATTTTTTTCAGAAAATATAAAATGATATCGAATTTTCGCTAAAAATTTCCTCCTTTCTGCAAAATTCAAGATCTCGTGACAAGTGTTTCAACATTTAAGGAGTAATAAATGGTAAAACAATGAAACGGAATCTGTGAACTCTTTCCAAGATTGCCAGTCACTCTTCCAAGCGATTTTTATCTTCAGTGGAGATTATCGCTGTAGGGAAGATCACGGTTGTTGACAGAAGTTCTTGCGTTGCATATTTGATTTTTCCTGTTCAAAACTTTTGGAGTCTGTTAAGGAGGTAAGAAAGGAGTACATGAGTTTAATACGTTATATTAATGAACTTTCTCGTTATTTATAAAGATAAGAAACAAATAATATGGATGAGAATGGCCTTAGAAAAAATTAATACACCATTTATGAAACCTGTAAAAAGTTTACTTTTGCCGTTATAAAAGACATTCTCCGCGAGTTATATCCAAATTCCTGACAGACTTAGAGCGAGTAGAATTGCTTAGTCGTAAACCTAAGTAGTCTAGTAACGTAGTCTGTTAGGTTCACGATTGCACAATTTAATTTAAAACTAAGTTGGCTCAGAATATTTTGCCATCATAACAATTTAAATGATGGCAGCTGTAATGCAATCTTATCAGAGCTGGAGAAACCTATTAACGTGGAGTCGAAAGCGAGAAACACGCTCTGTTTCACAATCCAAAACCCTCAACTTAAATACACTCATGTCCATAAATTAAGGATAATGCAAAATCAGGCAAAGGAAGAGTTAGAAGCAAAACAAATTTGACTTATTTGTAAAGCTTATTTATTAAACAAAAGGTAAAGAGCAGAAAAGATGCTATATGTTTGATATTATTAAAAAAATTAGCGATTTTTTCTCTCACTGGAGCAATTACAAAAAAAAAAAAAAAAAAAAAAAAAAAAAACCTATTTACAAAAAAACCAATATTACATGGTTGGTATGATTGATAATACATTGTATGTCTCCCAGACGATGCAATACAGTCCGTACAACGCCTAGGCATGCTGAGTATCAAATTATCGATCTGATCTTGGGATATTACACCACTCAAAAAGCAATGCTCTCCGAAGTTCCGGTAGATATATGTGGAGGAGGTTGACGGGCTGCAAATCGTCGGCCAAGCAT